ATATAGTCTCAATAGTTTAATCAGGTGAACAATCGAAAGCTCGAGCTTTTAAATATTATTTCTATTTTTTTAGCTTTCTTCTGCATTTGTAGAAATAATTGCATGATTTTTCAAGCTGTTTTCAAACTTACTGGAACAAAAATAAATTTGAGTTTTTTACCAATGTAATCTACTTTCTGAACACTCACTGCATTTTAAATGAAATTTATGCGAAACTGACTGTTTTTTGGATTACACAACTGGCTTTCTTCTTATTCCTACAAAAATATCCTACATCGTCTTCTTAGTAAAAATTCTTTTCTCATGCTTTTTTTGTTACTTATTTTTAGCTACGAACAGAAATTATATAAGTCAATATGTCAACTTTAGTAAATAAACAGGATAATAAACATTACATGCATTTATTTTTATATTTCGAAAAATATGGCCTTATTCAAAAAATGGCTTTAGTTTTACAATAAAACTGCTCAATATCACAATTTAAGCTAATTAAACGTCAGAATAGGGATTTTTTTGTTACTTTTTGCTTAAAAAAGTAGGCATTATCAAAACACAATGCTCTTATTAAATATAATCTGTTAGTAACTAGATAATATAACTTTATATTATAAAATTCTAAAAGAAAGCGAATTATTATAAATATAATACAGACAAAACAAAAGCCATGGAAGGACAAGAAAAATTATTAAGCAAACCATTACCTAACTTTTACAACATAAATTTATATTTTACTAAGCTTTCAAACGCAAGTTCTACTGAGGTGTAAATAATTGTTGATAAATTATTAAAATCAATCACAGAAAACAACGTCAAAGAAATAAAAATAAATGAAACCATGCGATGAAAACGGGTAAATAATGAAAAATAATGTAAGCAGAATTCCAAAACTTTCACTTTATCTCTTCGTCACATTTCATCAATTCAAGATGCGTTAGTTTCATTTGATTTAAAGCAAACGCACTTTTCTAGTTTTCCCCTCCAAACACATCAAATAGTTCGTTTCAAAACATACCAAAAGTTTTCCAACACATCAATTCTCTTCTTTATCAACCGCTTAAAAATATCAACATATTTTCCCTTTAGAAAATGATGACTCTTAAAAGACCTTTTAAAACTGAAGGAATCTCGTTTTAAAGGTATGTGCTCTATGTTTCGCAAAAGACTGACTCGCAGTAGTATTGACCTAGATTTGTTGCCTTGCTTTTTGGTAACCATGGTTACTACTGGCAGAATCAATATTGTCTTTAGTTGAACATGTTGAGCTTTGAAGAATGTTCCCTGATTTTTGAAATTAATGATTTCCTTCTTTAATCTACTTGTGTCGTAAATCTGATATTCATGTGCTTCCAAGTCGATCTTTCTAGGAAAATTTAATCTAAGAATTAATTTAAAAATTGCGGTTTAATTTAAAAAGGCGCGGCTGTGATAAATTACTTGTACGGCTATGAAATTTGCTTTTGATTCGGATCTTGATTCGTGATTGTATTTGCTCTTGATATTTGTCGGTTATATTTGCCAATTTTTTTCTTGTTCAGAGTATTATTGAAGATGATCTAAAAGTGAAATTTCGATAATAGCGCAGTTCTAATTTTTATTTTGAGCATTATTAAAGATAATCTGAAAATGCAATTTTAATAAACGTTGATTAACTTTTTATAGTTGATGAGCTAAATAAAGTGTATAATTGATATTTTTGAAAAAATTGAGATTGATCGGGAAAGTTTTTATTTTATTCCTATTTACCTATGCAACCTTTATTTATTTTGCTACATCTTTCTATTTCAAAGATTTCAGAAGATGAAGGATACAAAGTAACATCATTTAAGTGTTTATTGTAATCGAAGAACTATTAAAGTGTATTTGGTAAGAAACAGCTGGGGAATAACCTTAGAAAACCTGTCCTCTGGCAGCAAATTAAAACGCCAAGAATGCAAATGTTACGATGCAAACGTCTTAAATAAGTGTTTAATGATTTATATATTTAGTCAATTGGGAACTTGAGAATGAGAAATTGAAATAAGACATAGTCATCATTTCTTATTGTCAACTTTAAATATCATTTACTCAAATTAACTGAAAAGTCACTTAAATTTTTCATCTTCTCAGGGCTTTATTTGTTAACTTATACGAGGATGTCTTAAATTTTTTTGAGGTGCGCATAGGCGAGAAGTCGTACAAAAAGCTAATAGGTTAGATTTGAAAGTATGAATTATTTCAGTGGTATTTAATTTTTTTATCGAGCAATTGCGAGTAGTTTAGGGTGAAATAAATTAAGACAGAAGGAAAAGCGGAGTTAACATTTGGACATTACACAAAAAGTAATTTTGGTATCATATTTTTAATTAAAAATTATGACTTTTTTTCATTCACTTAGAAAGTATACAGTATAGGGATATGTATGGAATGGTATATACCGGGTAAATGGCTTTCAATGTTTTGCTGTTCTATGCGCACTCTTTTGTCAAAATTTTCAATGAGCGTTTTGCATTAATGTTACTAGATTTGGTTAATGCAGCTCTCACTTTCCTTATTCAAGGTGTATGTTTGATGACATAAACCTTAGACTTCTAAAATAAAAATTCGCACAGCATTAAATTGTATGATGTGGGCAACCAATTCTGATCATTATAACGGGAAATTACACGATGAGGTAATGATTCAATATTGCGCAAACATTAGAACATAGAAGAAACAAAATATTACTCAAAAATAAAAATTGATTGTTTTTTCGTGTAGCACCCTCTGTTTAATAATCCTTAACTGTAATGCTGTCTTCTTTTGTTGGCAAAATTCAATTGCACAAATGGTGAAAGATTTAAACCTTACAAGAATTTAGGAAACATTTCAGCTAGGATATATGTTAGACAAAAAATCTTAATGATTTTCTATCTAACATAGATTTTAGACAAAATATTATGTTTTACATTTTTGTATAAAAAATTTATGTGCAAATTTATTTGGGTCCGAAATAATAAGCAATAAGGAAATTTCAATTGAAAATGTGATACTACAGTGATGTGCCGTACTATTAGGCCCATATTAGTGATTGTGTTATTAATCAGCTATTTGTAATATAGGGCGACAATAATTACATCTTTTCATTAAGTTTTAGTATGGTAATGTGAGTGAATATGCTGACAACATTCTAGTTTTGTTTTAGGAGTTAATAATGTCTTACGGTTGTCGAAAACGTGTTTTTTCCATTTGAGTTTCGCTGACTAATCAGATCTCAATTGTTTTTACTTTATTATTTCATCTTGGTATATAATGATGTACTTTATATACTTTTTAGTATTTTTTACTTAAAAAAATGCCCAAGAGTTAAAATTGCTAAACATTTTTTTTAAATAAATAACAGATTTTTTTAAAGCTTTTTTTTCCAACACAATAAAATGTTTTAAATCAAGCAAACATACCTTATTTTATACGTCATGGTTCCATAACTAATAAAAGAATAAATATCACTAATTTATTTTAAAATTTTCAGCAATATATAAGTAAATAAATAATATTCTCCGCACTGGATCCAAAATATGGCATATAGTACTGTTGGAAAGATGTATTTTTAAACTAATAGATTTTAAGCAAGTTTCTTGCTATTATGTTAAATCTTATCCGTGGCATATGTCCTACAGAAATTTGATTTCATTGGAAATGAAAGCATTTATTATGATGCAGTTATGTTTAATTCTGACTAATTGGCCAATTGGGGAAAATGTGTCGAAATCAGTAACTTTTTGTTAAATATTAATTTAATATTGCCATTGTCAGATTTACCTTCAGCTTCTAATGCAGCGATATGCAAATCTTAATTCCTCATTAAAATTTATTAATTTGTGTACATTTTTCAGATCATGATTTTTGATAGCGATGACAAGTAGCACATGCACGTTGCACACATAGCATACATTTTCAAAAGTTATTTAAGGTGTAATCTTTTTCATTTTGCGCAATGTGCAAAACCGGGTATTTTATTGATTTTCTGTACATTGAAGAATTTTGTTACACGTTTGTAAATGTTTAATTTGACATCTAAGAGACATTTAAAAAAAATAATGTATTTTTTATGTGTGTGTCTTAATACTCAAAGTAAAAACAATGTCAAAAAAAGTTCAAATAACTGGCTACGATTAAATAAGCTATTATATTCTTGAATATATGTGATTTAAATGAAATAGTGACAATTTGCATGCATTTTTTTAACTGTGTACCAAATTTAAAGCCAATATTAGAAAAATTTATTAATTATATGAGCTAATAATTAAATTAACTAATTATTACATTATTTTATTGTCCACCCTCCCAAGTAAACTGATTTTCGAAAAAAGGCGATGCAAAATTAAGTTTACAATTGTGAGAAACCTTGAAATCGGAACTGAACCTGAAATTAATCACTCACGACGTGGTGAGTCAACAAAAAAGGGGCAACTTAAATTAAATAAACAACTGGTCACTTTTTCCCATAATTTTTTATTTTATTTAATTATTTATTTTTTATTCCGCAATGAATTTTCTTGCACGGTGAAATCAAGTTAACATGCTTGACTAAATTTTATCACCTATTTATATTATTTTTATCGTCGAATTCAATTTTTATAGCCACAGATTACTTCCGATGTGATTTTATTAAATATAATTTAATCTAAGCAAAAAAAAAGCAAAAAGTGGCTATTAAATGAAAAGGACCTACCAGTATTGGTCACCTACTCATTAGGTTTGAGGATAAAGTGGCCACTAAGTTATTAGAGATTACCGGCACAGGCTATTAACTGAGCATTTAAATTTTTAGGTCCACGTGGAACTGATGTAATAAATATGTAGAGGTATAAAATAATTAATTTAATACAAATTTGCTTAAAAAAATATTGATTTGGACTTCTTTGTATAAAGAAAATCATAATTTGATTTTTAATAAAAATAAACTTCATATTTATGATGAAACTGTTGTTTTTTTAAAAGAAAAATATCTAAGGTACTAATAAATGCTTTTAATTTTCTAGAGGCGGACAATCAAAATTAAAGGTCACATATTTCAACATGATGTTGCTGTCGTATTCCGAGTTGAAGGATTGGTTTAGTTGGCAATATATAGGACAACAGCTAACTCCTGCTGGCTGAAAATCTTCTCCTGCTGTTGGTAAGAAAATATTTCATAAGAAAACTAGTAATTAAAAGTATTCTCATATATCGATTCAAGACGTAATTATGAAATAAAAACCTTAGTATTATAAATCATTGTTTATTGGCAGTTATAATTACAAATTTAAATATGTATATGTTATTCTTTACTAGGGATTAGATTTTATCTAGTATTAGGTTTTACCCAATTAACATCTCAGAAAATTTAATTCAAAATAGTTCATAGTAAAACGACGGATGGGACCAATTTGGCCATTCTTGTTTTTTGTTGCTCGCTAATTCAAAAAAATAGACTAATTGAAAGTGTTGAGTATTTCTGACTTTTTGTTACTTGATCCAATTTAAGTGCTTAATTAATCATTTATGCGTTAGCCTTATAAAAAGGTATATATAGAACCTTGCATCTAGAATGACTGGGGCCAGTGTTGCCCCTTAGGTATTTTGGCATGTATCTTATTACCCCAGGTAGATTCGGGTATAAGGTACCCATTGGTAAATATCCCAGTTTCATAAGAAAAAGGCATTTCAACATCTGTATAATTATTATTTATCGAGAAAAGAAAGCTCAATGATCTAAGAAACAAAAATGATATTTCGCATTTTCAAATGTTTATGGTTGTTCAATAAAATACGTTCCAGTACTCTAACAAAGGCATCCCTAATAAACTTAGAACAAAAAACGTATACTCTTCGTTGACACTTCCTGTAAACATTGCTTCAAATTTATAAACATTTAAAATTGCACTCCAGTGAAAAAGTTGACAGCAGAAAAAAGCTGAAAATATTCATAACGATTAAGTTTTTCTTCTTTACTTTTTCAAGTTTTATTGGCATTTCTTGGTTTATCTGGTATAAGAAGAATTTAAGTCTCAAATTTGAAGAATTTTAAGTCTCAGTTAAAAGGTAATGTTCATGATACTTTCCGCATTTTAATCATTCATTATTATAATTTGAATTCAAATCATAAAATTAATGTTTAGTTTATTATATAAAGATACAGTAATCATATTTCCCAAACACATGTCAATCGTTTACTCCGTAATGGCATTTTTCAACTCGTAACTTCTAAGCCAGGGCCGATAAGAGTTGCTTCAATTTCCTTCTTTTGTAGTTTATGGGAATCATATTATAGCTTTAAGAAAGAGAAAACCATAATATAAGCAAAATCTCTTTGTGGCTTAGCGTCGTAAGCTTGCGACTTTATCGATTATCACAAAAATGATTCGACACAAGTTTGAAGTTGGGAGTGGATCGATTTTCTGGAATGGAATGTTTTAGTATTGGAGACCTATACTGAAAAGTTTCGTTTGATTTTGCTTAAAAATAGCAACAAAAATATGCTTTTGAAAATTTCCAACACTTTAAATTTTTAGATACAGATTCAATTTTTCAGCAGTAAAGTAAAATAATAACCCAAAAGGATTGATTATTTCCTAATCATATGAGGCTATTGTGTCGAATGACAACCTGGAGAAGTAAATTCTGGACATTTCTGGTAAAAAAAAGATTAATTCTGGTTGTAAAAATCAAAATATGCCGTACTATTTAAACCATTCATTTGATGATTTTCCTTTCAAATGGTAACTTTTTACAGGATACTCTGGTTTTCAAAATTATAGTTCTTATTACTAGACATTTAGTAAAAAATATATAATTGACTGAATGTGACTGAATAAATGCTGAATGATTTGATATGGCATCACATAAATAATTTGGGCATTTGTTTATTACATAGAAAGTTTATTTTTCTTAAATCTAAGCAAATAAATTCAAGCTCTAGTGAAAAGTCCAATTGAATTTGATCCCGCCAAAATATGCTCCTTATAAGCGAATGAATGGATTTCTTTACATCATATTTGATGCGCGAATTGTGCTTTCCTCTGAATTGAAATCTGGTAATCAAAACACTTTTCTTTAAACTGCATAAGATATAGTAACGAAAGTTTATAAAAATAAAACAATTTTATAAATATATTCGTTCAGCTAACTATCAAAAATAAACAGAATAATCAAAAAACTGAACTGAATTATTTCAAAGAAGATTTCAAAAGTTTTCCAAACACATAACTTAAAGTGATATCTTTCCAAGATAACATTATAACAGTATTTTTAAGAGCACATAGAAATTATGATGTATTTTTGGGAATTGTTGCGTTATTTCTGATGCAAAACTTTACATATTCTGCTATATGCCAACCAACACCTTTATTTTCAATCATTTCTTGATTAAATTATTAAATTTCATTTCTTGATTAAATTAAAATATGCCATTGAGATAAGCATTAAGCAATTAGTATTTTTGTTTTCCATTTTTGTCTCCTATTTCTTAGATGTTTTAGTTATTTTATGCATTTACACTATCTTGCGGTTTCTTAAATTTTCTAAATTTTCAAACAACATTTTCAACAACAACAGCAATTGAAAAAACAGCATTTTCATATCAAAAATGAGAAATTAAAATTAGCCTTGGTAGGCTTGAATGACAATTTGATTTACATATTTACATTTCGTTACATTCGAAGGGAATCGGAGATGTATATCATACTTTGCCGGTTTCTCATTTGGCATACTGTAAAATTTCTAGGAAATGTGTAAAATAAGAATCGTTTACAGCACTATCGGCTAGTTTTATGCATTCTATACAATGCTTAGGCTTTGCATAGAATGCCGAATTTCAAGCCTTGAATGTAACATATACAATAATTTTTTTAAATAAAACTAGTAAGCAAATTAAACATACGTGTAGCACAGAAAGATTATAAAAACGAATTCAAACTAGGCTTAAAAGAATTCAAACTAATTTAAAATTAGCCTTGGTAGGTTTGAATGACATTTTGATTTGCATATTTACATTTCGTTGCATTCGAAAGGAATCGGAGATGTATGTCATACTTTGCCGGCTTCTCATTTGACATACTATAAAATGTCTAGAAAATGTGTGAAATATGAATCGTTTCCTGTACTGTCGGCTGGTTTTGTGCATTCTATACAATGCTTAGGCATTGTATAGAATGCCGGATTTCATGCCCTGCCTGCAACATATACAATAATTCCTTAAATAAAATTAGTAAGCAAATTAAACATACGCGTAGCACAGAGAGATTACAAAAACGAATTCAAACTAGGCTTAGCAGAGCAAGCGGATAGAAATTATACTTAATAAAACTACTAAAGAATTTTATTAAGAGTTCACAGAGACTTAAAAATTTATACATAAATTGAACTTCTGTTTACGAAAGCGAAGTTTTGTTTTCGAATATGTATAGCAGCGTGAAGAATATCGACAATACACACGAAGTCGTGATCGATTGTAAGCATTCTACAAAAGATATTAAGAGGGTGCCGAAGAGAGGGGTTTCGCAAGAAAAAACGTTCAATGTATAATGTGAATACACTTGAATTGGGGTAAACATTTTCTATTATAAGAGTTTTAAACTCAATTGCACCAATTAAATTGTTTATGAAAACTCTATTGTGAGTTACCATGAAAAGAAGAGTTCCTTCACGCAATTCTTTGGATTGCTCAACTATCAAATTCAAGGAAATAGTGCCCCACAGATTTTATAGTGTAAAGATTACCGTACTTTTGGTGTTCCTATCGAGATACTTTAGTGTTTCCACAAATTTTAAATTTTACCGTATTCTGGTAGCTTTGACCATACTGTTTTCTGTTTGCACTTATTAATAAAAGGTAAATAAAAATAATTGTAACTATTTTTGTTTATGTCCAAAATTATATTGATGGAAATGATAGAGTAAGCAAGAAGATGGTTAATTTATTGTGACATATATCTTTTTCTATTTTGAGCCTTAATTTGTCTATAGTTTTTTTCTCCTCATCATAGGTTGTTTTTAAAATACAAAAGAAATTACTTATTTTAAAAATCAAAGAGCATGTAAAAACCTTTTTTTTCTTTAATTAACTCATATCGCTTAAAAGTTTTAGTTTACTACATTACATTTACATTTGATACTAAGATGAAACATAAGGGTGTTTTTAATAATCGTCTCTCAACTCCTCTCACTGTTACCACTGGCATTCAAATCAGTTTTGATGTTTATAATCTAGTATTTATCAATATTAATTCGTCAAAATTCAAATCAGTTTTGATGTTTATAATCTAGTATTTATCAATATTAATTCGTCAAATTTTAAATAGTGTTAGATTTTACGTAATAAAAATTATAATTTGCTTAATAACATCGTAATAATTTCAGTTCTTCATATAGATAGTAATTTTAATTGTGACAAGAGTTTTAAAAATACTGAAATACAAATACTGATTATTTTTCAATACGTGTGCTTTTTTATATTAATTGAAAGTTTAAGTAAAAGAAAACAAATCGTTAAAAGATTTTTGATCCTGTTTTTATCACTTCTTTTTATTATATGATATATTGAATTCAATTACAACATTTAATAGATTTATATACAAAGGAAATTATAAATAAAACTGTATTCTAATACAATTATTTCATGGTTTTATTTAATAATTGTAGTTATGAAGTTTGATTTCTAAAAATAAATTAAAGCATAGTTCTTTGAAAAATTTAATTTGTTTCGTTTCCAACTTCCTTTTCTTTACGTATAAATGAAAATATTTCTTTCAACATAGCAACTATAAAATTAAACCAAAAAATCTAAATTTTATTTTAATTAAATTTTCTAAAGGTCAGCACAAAATACACAACATGAGAAGAATTCGTAGTGTTGTTGGTTTTCACATTTTACTAAAACTTCTCGATGCATAATTCTAGGTAAATTTGAAATCCTGCTTGTTTCTTGACTTTCAAAACTATTTGAAGTGTGTTAAAGTAGTTTTACTTTGAATATTATTCCGACAAAAAAATTCTTTTATTCATATCTGATTGAAATTTGAAGGTTTTCATTTCCATTTTAAGTTGGCGAGAGAAAAGATCAGATGTAGTGGAAGAAATGGAAAATGAATCACCACTGCCCCCTTGTGGAAGAAAATGCAAATCTGGTAAGCAATTTCATTTTAGTAATTCAAAATAAATGTTTTCATTTAAAACATTCCATTTTTTGGGGAAAGTGACATATGTCGAAATTTTAGGACGAAATTTAGGACGTATTAAAATTTTATTTACCTCCAAAAATTTATTTTATTATTTTAATATATATTTCAGTATTTTTCCCCTCATTGTATTTACTAGTTTTACTCCAACATTCGGTAATATTTAATTTTTAATAGCACTCTTTGTTCTATTGTTTAGACATTTTTATTCTATTTGTCAAAAGTTTTTAAAAACAACTTAATTTAAGCTTTTCTCATATTGATTTAGGAAGAAAAAGGAAAGCTACATTTCCCAATTTATGGAAAGTGTACCGATAACTTTAATCTTAATATTCAAATTGTGTATCATTATCCATAGAGTTATTTTAATTCATATTTATTCTAAAAAAATCAAAAGTTTAATCCTTGTAAAAAGCAAAATAAATTGTTCCTGTTTGATTGTAACCTATACTAAGGATGTTTATTTTTTGTATTATCTTTTAGATACTACAATCTATTGAAACAAATCATTTGCTTGAAACTTGAATCACTTGTAAATATTTATGAATCATTTCTTTGATAAAATTACCATTTTTTTTGTTTTAAAATTACTTATTTATGTAATAGTAATGTAGCACAATAAACATTTCAAACCAAACAGCATTATACAATAAGAGTTATAATGAATATATGAATTAATTTAACGTACCTGGATATTCATTGGGTCCTTGCTTAATTGCATCAGTCTGAAGTTGTGTTTTGAATTTTAATTAAGAATAAAGGGCTCTCCAAGACAAAATTGCTTTTATGATACCTTTCAACTATATAATTCATAGCTATATCAATAAAGACGCAAATATTTAAAATAAAATTCATATTTATAAACCTAAATATGTTTTTAGTGATATGTATATTAACGTAATCAGACTGATGTAAAAATTACTTAGCACATACAATTAGTTCTCAAACTTCCAACTTAAATCTATATTTCACATAAATTCTTTCTTATTAAAAGTAAAACTAAAATACGCACTTGAAAGGAATCCCAAATTCTGAAAAAATGAGAAAACAAAGTAAAAAATGTTTTTAAAATTTGATTAATATTCAGGCCAACAGCACAAAAAAAATGGAATTAGAATAGTAACCAGTTGCAACAACCAGTTTATTTGTACTATGGAAATGTAGGTAATTAACTAAAAAAAAACCTTAACTTTGTACTATTAATACATTGGGTTTGATGATTTTAATTTTTTATAAAACTACAATGAATAAAGGAATATAAAGAGACAATAAAGAATGAAAGAAAAGAGGAAATTTCAAAAAAAAATTAAGAATTTAAGATTTAATAAGTTTTATTAACTGCACATAAGCTGCAAGTACATAGAATCCCTATTAGAAGATAAAAACACAAAGCAAACAAGGAAAGGAATGGGAAAAAAAGGATTTTAAAGTGCTAAATTATTAAAAATTATAAATTTAAAAAACATTTAAAAAATTAATCAAAGATAGAAAATTTAACAAGGTACTTATTATTATCTCCTAATCATCAAACACAATTATATCCACAAAAATAAAACTTTCTAATACTGTATTAATATAGCCAAAGAAAAATATATTAATAAGGCAGTGTAATAAGCACAAAAGAGAGATTAATTCATAAATAAAATTTTATCAAGTAACAATATCACAAAAAAATCAGAAAACATTCAAAAATATTCATAAATAGGAACATATAAAGCGAGGAGGGAAAAATGATGCCATGTACTGACTAATAATAATTTCGTAACTAATACTGCAGAAAAAGGATTTCTCAAAATTGTGCAAAATGTCTCTAAATTGCTCCAAAACAAATGATAGTCAAATTTACAAATCCCATATATTCATCATTTAAACAGCATATACTCATATTTCATAAAAAAATGAAATATATTTTAAATTGGAATTTTAAACATACATATTATTTACAATTTGATTTCTCAGGAACTATTCTAGCGATTTCTCTCAAATATTTTAATTGCCATATAAAATTACATTTGCCATATAAAATACAACGTTGTAAAAAATTGCGGATCTCACGGTTCAAAAACTTTTCAACAGCTATTATATAAAATAATTAAAAATAATAAATGCTTACTAAAAATATAGTTTTGTGTTGAATTATCCTCTGATAAAATAATTTTAAAATTGTGTGCAAAATTTTTTAAATTCGCTTAAAAAGTTCTCGAGATATAGAGAAATACGCCAAAAATAATATTAACAATCAGGGGGCCGAACTTTGAATTGCTCTCCTGAATCTCCTGACCAAGCTAATGGGATCATATTTCCCTAATTACGGCTACCCCCTATATTTTGGGGGTATAGTATACTGGATAATTCGCAGCATATAAAAAATGAAATGTTAAATTTTAAATACAACACTTTAAATCGATGTTTTTTCAGAAATTATTATCATTTATTGAATAATAATAATTATTTAATTGAATAATTAAGGAGATTGTGGACTAAGACGAACTTTAGTCACGGTTTTTTTCTGAATTGGATTCTCACAAGGCAAAAATATCAATTTTGATAACTAAGAGATTTGTTTGTAAATCTATCCTTTTATTAATTTTAATACGCAATTATTTCAATAATCTTGAATAGAACTTAATTACGTTTGCTGGATATCCGTTGTTATTATTCAAGTTTTGGAAAAGTATATCTATTTATTTTTTGGATAAATAAATTTTACTACAAATTGTTCTAATTCTATTTATTTGATTAAAAATAGTATTTTAATAAATGTTTTTAGAAACATTAGAATTCTATTCAATCATTTCATTTGTATTAAGTTTAAAATCCTTCCTTTTATCGTATAAGTCAACAATGCAGGTAGTTTCTTCTTTTTTAATATTTAAATCCAAATAATTAAAATTAATATTATTGTCATGACTACGAAGCAATAATAAATGCGCGGCGGAAATATTATTCAACAATTTTTTTTTAATTTTGAAAAATAAAGATAATTATATCATATGAATAATTTTAAAAGCAAATTTCATATTTAATGTGCACATTTTTCCTAATAGTGTAAAGATAAGTCAGACAGAAGTGATAATAAATCAGATCATTGTAGTTTTCTTCAGTTTGAATGGAAACAATGTTCTCAATTATAAAGATAATGATTCAAAAAAGACATATTATAATGAATTTACCTGTAATCAAATTCGCAATTTTGGATATTTTTATAATCATAGAAGCAACTAAGAAAAAAACATCTTTAAGTTTTGAAAATGTAATGGTATTAAAAGAAAGTCATGAAAATCAAAGGTCATAACGAATTTAATTCTGAAGTTTTTAACAAAATCTAAAATAGATCGATTATTGGTAATAATTCTTGAAAAACTTTTTTATTAATATTGTTAATAATTTTATTTAAATGGTAAGAGAAAATAGTGCCTTGTTCAGTTAAGTATGCATTCGACCCACTAGTGGTTATTCTAAATTTGATAGAAATTTCATAAAATTTTGGACTGATTATTTAGTATAGAAATTGAACATGATTAATTTTAATTTTTTACCTTTTGTGGTAAGATAAAAAAAAATTAATAACATTATTATTTTTAAATTGCTAAGCTTAAAATTTTCACTTTTTGTGAATTTCGTATTTAAAAGTTCAACGTAGAATCTTTTAGAGTAGATAGTATAACTTTCGTTAGCTTTGTCTATGGGGGTTACTACAAAATTTGTTGAAATTGCTTAATAGTAGGATTAATTTTAGAAAAAATATTTGGAATGTTATAGCATCAATTATAATTCTCTTATTATTAAGAAAAGTTCTTAAAGCAATGATAAACTACCCGTTTCAGAAAGGTAACAACCCTAAAGGTGAAGAGAATCTATTAGAAATCTTTAAACAAAGACTATAGAAATAAAAGAATTTTTAAATTTTTTTAGTAATTGTATAGTAAATGGGTCAAAATTTTGTGCATTTATTTGTGGTTCTAAATTTTCTATGATATTTAAATTACCAGTAATAATATGTTTATGATACTTATCAACAAATTCATAACGTGCATAATTGGTTATTTTAATTTTTTTTTTTAATTTTTGTTGAAAAGGTTCTTTCTCGAGATTTATTATATTTATAGCTTTTAATTATGTTTAAATTTATTAATGGAAATAATTTCCTTAAATTGTAAAATATAATGATATCAAATTTAAACTTATCAAAGATAAGGTTATGAAAACCAAGAAGAAATTTTGAGTTATTTTACTTTTTCTTCTTTTTTAGAGAAATTTTACTCATTTTAGCCATCACAAGATCAAAAATAAAACTAACGTTTAAGAACATTTAACAATTAAAAAAACATAGAAGTAAAGAAGTAAAACATAGAAGTAAAACATAGAAGTAAAGAGAAAGTAAAGAAGTAATTAAAGTTAATCTGCGCATGCTGTAAAGTTTCATTAAGCCAGTATGACAGAATTGATTTGTATAAATGTAAGTTATAGTACTTTTTTTTCTTAAATCAAAATCATCGACAATGTCTGAAATATTAATTTTAACTCTAAAATTATGTATTCCATAATGATTGAATTTTAGAACATTTATAAATTTTTTTTGCTATTATTATCTGTGAGATGTTGTTTAATTCTAATATTAAGAGAGTCGTTAGTTTTTCTAACATATTTCAGATTGCAAATAAAACACAGGTTAAGATATAAATGACGTTATTAAATTTGCAAACATATTGAATTATGTCTTGAATTATATGTTTGAATTATATGTTTTTGATCAACTTTGGAACAGGTCCTTAATCTTTTGTAGCTATACACTTTATGACATGGCAAAAATTCTAGTTTCGAATGAAATTCGAAATATAGTTTATTATAATTATTTTATTATATTACCTGTCGATCCAAAAAGCCTCTCTGAATTAGGCTCTACGTACCGGTATAATATATGGATTTTTATCTGGCTATATAGTATTATCTCTTTTTAAATCGATATTAAAAATATTAGGCACAACACATACTGCACAAAACCACAAAACTTGAAAAAAAATTATTGAAACAAAAACGAAATCAAAGTCGAGAATATTAAGAACTAAAGCCTAATATTGATTAATGATTCTTTGCTGCCTTGTGAGGATATATATATATATANTTTTCTTATATATATATATATATATATATATGCATAATTGCATCTTTTAAAGGTTAAAATATTTTGTCTTTTCAAGAAAATAATTATTGCTTATTATACTTCAGGTGAAGATGTTGAGTTAGTGGCTAGAGTGTCAACACCTGAGCTGGAATACCTTCCAGCACCATCTAGGATGACCTGCTGTCCTGAGGTTGAACTGTTATTCTTAAAGTGTATAATTTCTAGTGCCCTTTATTTTAAACTAAGAATATATATTTAACTAATTTGATTAAGAAAATAATTAAAAAACATTTTAAAAGATAAATATAACTAAGAATACATTTTAAAAATATAGAATACATTTTAAATTAAGGATATATATTTATGGACAGCGAAAAATGGCAATTACACACATTTGAATAAAGATATCAGATACACTTCAAAAACAAATCCAGTAATATTACAGGAAATTGCTAGCAGCACAGTTGGTTGAAAATTTCTGTATGCAACAGAAAAAACACGTTTTCCGAAATTTTCTGTAACAATAACATACAGAAAATCTCCGTAAATAACAGACTTTTTCAGAACAATAAGGTAAAAGTCTATGTTGTTGACATCCAAAAATTTGGTGTTGATTGTGACCCATTGTGTTTGTCGTGCCAAAGCGAATCGTGGAAAGAGACGATGTACTGTAGACTGCCCTCTGTCTAGAAGAAAGAGATTTACATGTTCATGAATATGGAATGTTGTGGAAAAGACGTTCATTGACCATCCACTGGGATCAAATAAGGGATCATTGGGACCGTAGCTGGTTGCTCTAATCCCCACGGAAAAGGATGTACGCTAGGGATGTACCAGGTGTCCGATAATTACCTGGTACCCGACCTACTTGGCTAGATTTTCATCACTCGGTTAATTGTCCGGAACCGGCAAAAGAATTTCAGTAATCGGTACCGGGAACCCTTACGTAGTTTTTAATCTCAAGACCTGGTACTGGGTACCCAGACACGGTAATTTTTTCGGGTATCCAGAACAGGGTAAAACTTATTCACATTCGGCACAACCATATTCGGATATCTAGTAACCTCATAATTATCCATAAATAATAATTGTATATTTTAGACATCTGCTCACTTCATCAGTTTCTTAATAATCAAGCTGAAATTGTTGGTTTAGACACGACATATTTCACTACTGCGCAAGGAAATCTCCGTAGACTGGACACCTTAGAGATAAAGAGATTTGCTTGCAAAAGAAAGACGTCCACTTTGGAGCAGACATGCAAATTTCAGAAGTCTATTACTAAAAATTGTTGTTAAATTAATATGATAGTAAAATGGATATAAAATTGGAAATAAGGAATTTCCATTGTTATTTATGAATTTATGTAAAGTTAAAAAAAGCGTAATGATTAACAGTTTTCTAGTAAAAGGAGGCTTTATATAATATTTTTATTTTTTTTAAATTGCAAAAAAATATTACGTTTGTAACCAAATGGCAACATTTGAAAGAGAACATCTTTTAAACTATACAGCCCATAAATGTTGAAGTAATTATATGTTTTAGATAGTTTAAAAATATTTTTGAAACCTAAATGTACAAATATAGGTACAAATTCCGTGTACAAATAGACGATTTCTTTAAAATGACTCATTACTTAGCAATTTTATTGCCTAAATTTGATAAACTTTATTAATTTTTTTTTAATATGGTGCTTTTATTTTAGGGTTTAACATGCATGCTAGTGTTTTCAATTTTTGCAGCCGTCCTAGGAATGTTTCAATTTGGCTATAATACAGGTGTCACCAATGCTCCCCAAATAGTAAGTGTTGATAATATTTTATTTACACTCTTAGAAAGTTTTGAACATTATGGTCGAAGGTAAAACACAATCGCGTTCAAATTTCTAGTAAACTAAATTTGTTAGAACCATATTATCTTTCAAAAAAACTTGATTGTACGATACTATATGGTTCAATTTGAAAATAGCTACTATGCTATATGGTACGATACTATATGGTTCATATAGGAAAACAGCTTATTAAGATTGCAACAAATTAGCACCATATTGTGGTTTAATTTACTGATATAAGTTAACAATTATCCGATACTTCTGAGAATGTAAAGCTTACTATAGTTTTTCACAGTATTTTTTTTTTAAAAAAACATGTATTTAAATGCTTTGTGATTTATTAATTTTGCAGTATTTTTCTTAAAGAAAAGCTTTTATGTATTTAAATTCTTTGATATATTATTTTATTTACGCAGTTTACAGTCCCTGGATAAGTTATTAGTCTCACAGTAATTTTTTAATATTTACATCTTTTGCACGAGTTTATAAGCAATACTTTTATATTTAAACAAACATGTAATGTGTTTTCGTTCAGGAGATTTTTTATATAGTTATTTACCTATTTACATTTAATTTTAATGCTTTGCATTACAGTGTTAACCAATTGATATGCAAACGTAAACAAGTGCAAACCGGTTTCGGTCACGTTGTCGCATGAGTCAGTTGTGGACTTGTTTCAGTTTCAGTAACTTTATGCTCTGTGTTTCTTTGTTTCGCAGTTTTATACTACGCAGTTATTTATTATTTTGTGTGCAGTGTTTAAATAATCTATTGGAACATTTTCATCACGGGTAAAAAAAGACGATCTTTCACTATGTAAAAAAGCTGAAGTAAAGGCCCCTCGTGAATGTCAAAATATTTTCAAACCGCGAAATATCACGAAAATTGAAGGCTTATCTAGAATACGACGCGTGCAGAAGAAAATTGATTTAGGAGACGAAATGAGCCCGAAACGAAAGAAAAGATGCAGCAGAATATTATAGTGCTTCTAATAATTTGGCCAGGGTAATACATAAAGTAGTTTCAAAAACTATTGAATGGTATTGATTAATAATAATTCTTCTGAATAATTTTTCACCGGAAATATTCAGTTTTCATATCAAAGTCTTTTCAAAGTTTTAGTTTCAAACAGTATAAAAAAGTGTTGATTACTTTAATTATCTTGGAATTCTTTTTTATTTCAAAAATTTAAGATATGTTTCTAGATTTCTTAATAATTTCTCTTGTGCTTCTTAACATCAAATGTTTTGAGCTTCTTTTTGACAGTTCAAAAAATTTTTAATACTATGAAAAAAATATTTTTTAAAATTTGAAAAAGATATATGTCGAAACTTTCAGACTTGTATAGAGCTGTAATTGCAGAAAAAAATTATGAAAAAAAAAATGTGGAGTCAGTTATATTTTTTTTACTGCTGTTGTTGAAATATACTAGCACAAAAAACTAGCGTCAAATTTAATATGAAACCTTGATTCTAGGTTACTAAAATTATTATCAGATTTTAAGTGTCAGATTTATAACACGCCATTTATTTTTATGCTATTTGAATGATTCATAAACTATTCCCAAAAACATAGGAGAGAACACAGAGAATAGGAGAAAACAAGCCGTAGCATTGTCAAATTAGAAAAAGTTAAACTTTTAATCATCAGTTGCCGAGTTTATGCCAACATAGCCCAGAAATTTATATTTAATGTTTTTCTTTCATTTCTCAATCATTTCAAGACCAAAACAGTTTTTTGAAATGCGACCAAAAGCTTTATATTTCTCTTAACAAACACATGTTATAAATATTCAAGTTAAAGGATTGTCAAATGTGCTTGGCAAGAAATATTTTAAAAGATTTCCTTCAGGGAGTAAGTTTGATGAATCAAATTTTCGCATGTCTAAGAATTCGGAGAGCTTGTGTTACGGAGACTTTATTTGATGCTCTTAAGTCTCTCTCTCTCTATCTATCTATTTATCTATCTAGCCAGTTTTTTTCTGGAAATGACTTCGAAACCATTAAAGGGAAACCCTAAATAAATGTCAGATTTGAATTCTTTTCCTTAAAATGCATACCATCAAAATTTCTAGTCATATTTGGCACCGTTATCTTTCTAGATCAGAAACACATATTTAAATTTGATTTTAAATTCAGATAAAATAATAATGTTTCTAACTAAATAAAGCTTTTAATTGTTTTTTTATGTTTTCAGATCATAAAAAAATTTATCGAAGATGTGTACAGAGATCGAACAGGGGCTGACATCTCGAACGATTTTCGTGACTTGCTGTGGTCATTGATTGTATCTGTGTTTGCTGTAGGTGGGATGATAGGAGGTATGATAGGGGGTTCCCTAGCTGATAAATTTGGCAGGTATGTTTTCATTATTAAGTTTGTTCTATGAATATCGTTTTTTCTTCTGTTATTCACTGTACATCCTTATTTAGAAAAACCTATATCATTGTTAAATATTATCCTAATTTAGTAAATGGTCTCAATATGCATTAAAGTTAGTTTTGCAATGTAATATACGCATTTTCAAATCTAATTTCTTAAGAGTAAATTGAATTTCAAATATCAAATGTGATATTTTATTCATGGCTATGAGAAGACAATTAATATAGTGATTGTGCACTGTTAGACTTTTTTATTCTAAATTCATGATAAAATAATTGGCAACAGTCTGTCCCTCCAATTAACCATAAAATTTAAGATAAAGAACATTTTTTTACCTTTACTGTTTTGAAACCGCTTACAACAAAAATGGTCAAGAATCATGAATACAAAACTATACTGTTTTTTAACCATTTAGTTCAAGCATAGTTCGAAAACCGTAAAAAAAGAAATTTAACTGGATACAGGAGCTAGGCATTTCGGTAGGCAATGGAGAATACAGAACACAAATGAAGGAAATATTCTGATGTCAACAATGGGACTCGAACCCTAGTTCTGTCGTGAGACTGACATGAGACTGGCAGATTACCTCTCCCGGCTATAATACGTGCTCAGTTGTAAGGAACCACGCGGTTTCAATTAGGTGGGCTTAGTTGGTACGACAAAATTCTGGTTGTTTAGCCGTCTTAAGAGATAGCAGTTAATAAACAGTTTTTCTCACAGATAACAGTTTTATTACCTTCGTATTTATGATTATTTGTCTTTTTTCTTTGAATAAGGTAAAAAAACAACTAAATAAATTGTTATTTAACCATTTTTTTCCTGAAATTTCTAACAGAGTAAGTCTTGCTGTTATAAAGTTGATTACTTGAGCTTAGTTTGTATAACAGTGCGAACTGGTTATGGCGAATACATTTGCTTTCATATGGGAAAAGTACTGAACGAATTATTACATCCTTTCTCAGCAAATGCGTTGTTGTTTAATATATTTTGTACGAAAAACACTTAAAAATGATACATAGCACTAGTTAGAAGACATACTTAACATATTGCACCAACTCTCTAAACACTTATTTTTGCAAATGGCAAAACAACATGCATTTTCCATATTTATAAAGTAATGAGAACAAAATTTAGTTTCAGTATAGACTATTTCAATCTATTTGTGAGATTTGAAATAATTTTACTTTGTGTAAATACATTATTTTAAAAAAATCGAAATTTTAGCATGAAAAATATCACGTATATTTCCTAAAAAAAGTTTTTAATTTAAATATGTGAAATACTTATTGCATTTGGAATTGATCAGAAACCTATCTCATTTTGAAAAGTGAAAAATTGATATTTTTAAGAAAACACAGCAGTGAAAAATGAAAAAAAAAAGTAAAGCATTTCTAAACACTTTTTTAATATGGCCAGGAATACCAATAGGTATATATATATATATATATATATATCTATTATATCTATCTTATATCCTATCTTACATCTCGAAATATATCTATTTATCTGAAAAAAACTTTACTCGCTATTACTGTGTCAGGTTGCCTCAAACTTCAAGTAATTGCATTCGGACACATTGCATATTGTTATTTTTACATTGAATACTTTACGAAAATGAACTACATAAACTTCTAATATATTTTGAGTTAAAAATTATTAAGTTTAAAATAATGCTACACAGTAATTCATATTAAAGTGTAGATTGGAAAAAAATGGATGAAAACTATACTTTTTTCAAAAATAATACAAGGCTATAAATTAATTTCGTATATGTTCGATGCATTTTGAGCATTTGATATTTGCATTTTAATTATTTAGATTTCTAAGGAATCTTAATAATTGAGTTCAGAGAAGCGGCAGCATGAAAAAAAATGTACATTTAATAAAACAGATTTCAAAAGTATAAGTATTTCAAAAGATTTCCTTGTCTGGGAAAAAAACAGTTTTCTCATACTTTAAAAAAGGTATTTTTCAAAGTACCAATTGTGAAAAAGGAATTAAAAATACTCAAAATAGGATTATTTAGGATAACTTATATACTGTAAAAAATTCCGGATCAAAGTACGGCATAAACTTCCGCACTTTGGGTGCATTATTACTGTAAAAATTATGGTATATTAAAATTTTTGTTGAATTTTGCGGTAAAATGTGTCGGCATCCTAAGTACCGTCGCTTTTTACCGTAATTGATCTGAAATTTTTTACAGTGTATATAGAAGGAATCTTCTAAACAATAAGAAAAATATATATGAAATTGCCATAACTTTACTGTTCCTAACATTCAGGTTTAAATATTCCAGCCTACCACACATGCTAACATTTTGAAACATGAACGTGAATTAAGTGACCAATTTACAACACAAAATTAAATTATTCTACTTATTTTATTTTTAGTTTTATGATTACACGGTTGCAAACTTTCTACGCTTTTTGTGAAACCTCACTCTTGTAGCAGCTAAGTTTATGCTATAATACATTATTGTTTTATTCATTTAAATTTATTTTACACACCACTACAAATAAATAATTTATTCGCTCATATGCATCACCACTTTTCCCCAGCTCTCTCGTGGAGAGGCGTTTAAAATGTTGGTAAAATTATCAAAAATTCAGAAAGTTTTGGTTTTTTACATGTCTACCACTCTATAGTACATTTTTCAAATATCGTAGTAGTTGGCTGGCCTGTGTTTATATATACTCATATCAGCTGTAATTTTTCGCTAACTTTTACTAAAATCACACCCAGAAGCACTACCTGGATAATTAATTTTAATTAATTCAAATTAATTCATAAGGATGCACTCTTGTAGTATTTCCAATGATGCCTAATAGCTATTAATAATGTAAAACTGTTGCAAATATACAGAACCAAAATTATTATAGTCTACCGTATGTCGCGACTTATATGGTAATATAAATAAAATTCTAAGTTGTTTAATAAATATAAATAAAAATCTAAGTCATTAATTTGTTATTTTATTTAACATAAACATAATAATTATGAGCTAGAACTATCGATTGAACATAATTATATATTTATGTGATACTTTTAATTCTGAGCAGTTTAATTGGGAATTATTTTATAATTACACTAATGTACAGTTTCTTAAATTTATTCTTGCAAAAAAAATTTAACTTAGCATTGCGTAAATATTGTTAAAGCGTGCTGCAACATGCCACACCGGCGCATGGATCATATTTATAGATGCTAAATCTTATAAGGTTCGATAAAAACGAGTTGGAAAACTTTATTTTAAAATGCGATTGCATTGAGAAAAAAAATCTGACAAAATTACCAAACCTGTATAGTAAAACCATTTCTGACAATTAACCCGAAATCTTTCAATTGGTAATTTTTTAATTTTTCGTGTTAATAGTTAATCAGGAATTAAGGTTTTAAACATTATAATTCTTAATACCAGATTGTTAGTAAAAATACAAAACTAAATGTAAATTTAATCTAAAAACGCCAGGCTTTGTAGAATCACGATAAAATTACCAAAATTTTCCTCAGAACTGTCATTAATTTCACCATTTATTAATTCAACATTTCAATGTCTATGACTTTTACCAGATAGAATGTTAATAGACCTTATTATTTGTTTACCCTTTTATGGTTTATTTAAACAGGCCGTTTATTTAAATGGTTGATAGGAGTAAGGTGAAAGCTAATTATTTATTTTCCTAATATATTTCTCAATTATAACATAGGAAAAATAGACCAGAATAATGCTGATGAATTTAAAACTTTTGGCAAAAATGTTAAACTGTCCCATTCCATCCAACATTTTCTACGTTGAAATGTTATTTATGAATATAAGTACATTTTATAAGACATTGTAAATATCCTAATTCTATTTAAATCCTTTTAAAACAATGTTTTTATAGGAAAGGAGGCTTGCTTGTAAATAATGGTTTTGGTATAATTGGAGCGGCTCTTATGGGATCCAGCAAAATATCACAAAGTATAGAAATTTTGGTTGTAGGAAGGCTTATTATCGGAATGAATTGCGGTGAGATTTATTTTTGGAATTCTTACATTTTTTTCTGATTTTATGTTGTAATGCTCTTTGTGTATTATGGTAGAAGGAAATATGCTAGTCTTTAGTTTGAAAATTTATTTGCAAAACGGAAAAAAAATCGTTTTTCTTGTGTATCAGATTATCCATCGTTCTTACTGTATTCATTTATCTCGATTTACGAAAATAAATTACGCAGCATTTTTTTTGTATACTTTATACCTTGGCGTTTTTAATTGACAAATAACATAGGGATTGGTAGAAATCCGTGCAAACATCTGTTTTTAAAATGAATATTTGAAAAAGTATGTGAGAAATTTTTGTGGAGATTGCAAAAGGTAGGCTTACCTCGGTTTATTGGTCCAGGTTTGCATTCCTTAGATTAACTAAGCACTACAATCTAATTTTAAATAGAAGTAGTTTATTTAAATTAATTATGCTATAGTTTTTATTTTTATGTCAAGTTCTTTAATATTTGTTACACTTAAGATATTTTTCACAAAGCGTTTTTACGTGAAATTTTTTTATATTTGTTATATTTCGTACAATTTCTTAGACAATAAAATTGTGCTGATTCTAAAGCAGGTCATGTGAAATCCTCTAAACTTAGTATAAAGCCATCTAATTTCATATCAAGATTTAAATTAAAGAATAAAAAATCCTGTAATTGCTAATTTATAATTTTCACATAAAAACAACTTTAAATATACTTTTTTCAAAACATTCAATATACTTTATAACATTAGGAAACTTTATTATGACATTTAATAGCATTAACTATTGCTAATAAATTTCTTGTCAGAATAGTTTTAGTCTTGATTCCCTAAATTTAAGTTAAAAATCAAGTTCTTTTTTCTAAAAAAAAGTTTTAAAGAAATAGTGCCTCGTATACTCTTATTTAATTCCAATTTCATGTACAAGGTGTTTCATAAACACCACCGTAAATATGTATTTTTAGAATCCTTATCAAAAAGGAAAACAGAAATGTATATACATTGGGAGTCGCAAATTTTAAAAGAGTAAAAATCAAAAACTTTATTGAAATTTGAAAAAACACGAAACAGGAGGACGTGTATAATAAACTGCAAGACTAGTTTAATGCAGGAGGAAACAGAAAGAAGTTTAAAGGCGATCATTAGAAACACTTTCAAGTTTTAACCTCCATTTAAACCTGTTTTGGTGATTATTACATCTGCATTCATACTTTTGTAATTTGTCTAATTTCGATAGCGTATTTGTTTTTTTCATCGCTCTAAGATTAATTTACGACCCTTTCCGTATAGTTTTTTTTCCTCATTTTTGAGAAGTATTTAAAATAAACGCATTATGGGTGGTATTTAAGGAACACACTGAAAAATTCGAGGATCAAAGCTGTAAATAAAGTTAAATAATTAAGGTATTCTATTGCATTTTAACAATATGACGTACGTTTCCATACCATGTCAAACATTCAATATTTGCGAACAAAACTGAGACAATCTCTTTGAAAAATTCTCTAAATGTTACAATAATTAAAAAAAGCCACAATTGGAAAATAGATTCTTTACCATTTCACACTTGTCATAAAAAACATAAATATATAATATTTTAAAAGTATTTATAATCTGAAACACTTTAAAAGTTAAATTTTAAGTTTAGTTAGTCAAATTTTAGTTAATTCTTTAGTTTCTGAATGCGAATTCAATGTATTTGAGTTGTTTTATGAGTCATATCCTATAAAAGTGTAATAAATATTTCTATGCATGGCAACACTAATAACGCAAATTTTTAAACAAATACAGGTGTAAATTCTGCTTTAGTGCCAATGTATTTATCAGAAATATCTCCGCTTACATTAAGAGGAGGCTTAGGTGAGTTTTCCGTAAGAATATTAAAGTATAAATTTTATGAATTTTTGATCCTGAAACAAAGTCTCTAATTCCATCTTGCTTTATTTTCAGGGACCGTAAACCAGTTAGGAATTACTATTGGTCTTCTGTTGTCGCAGGTGCTAGGTATACAAGCCATTCTTGGAACTGAAAGAGGATGGCCTTTTCTATTTGGTAATGGATTTTACTACAACCTTTGAGTATTTATTTCTAAAAGTAATAATTTTTAATTAACTGGTAACACCATAGGGGCTATTTAAAAAATGCTTATTTACCTAAATAGAATTATTGATGCTATTATGAATAAAACTCGGGGCATTATTTAACACGTTTTGAACTACATGAAAAATAGGAAATGTTGGAAATTCGGTGAACATTAATGGTGGGTTTAATAACTTCCACAAGTTTTACCTGATTACTTTGAAATTTTAATACCAATATACTAGTTGGCGCAATTCTATGGCATGTAAACTTGGTGGCTCATTGAATGAAAAATACTTTAAAAGATGTTGTCTACACTTGATTAGTAAAAAACTATAAACTCAGTTTAAAAAAAACTCTTTTCCTCGGAACTACATTAGTAAAATTTCGTTTGTTCGTCAAAAAAAAATGTTTTGAAGTTTTCAAAATTTATTCATAATAGTATTGCTGAAAATAAGATAACAGTAGCTATATTTCCTGATATATCAAAAGCCTTCGATAATGTCAATCACAATCTTTTAATCAAAAAATTAGAATTTTCTGGTTTCAGAGAAATTATTTTAAATTGGTTTATTTCATATCTTTCAAACAGAGAACATAGAGTTAAAATCCGAAGTAATTTTAGTAATTATATCGCTGGTTCAAAGTTAAAACGACACTTCTGCACTCCTGCACTCACTTCTCATTCAAATAACATGAGAAGTGAGTGCAGAAGTGTCATTTTAACTTTGAACCAGCGATATTTTTTCAAACCGTGGTGTTCCTCAAGGATCTATTCTAGGACCCTTATTGTTTATTATATTCATCAATGACTTTTGTCAACTCAAACTTTTTGGTAAGATAATAACAAATGCTGATGATTCCGTAATTTTGTATTCTTGCACTGATTTAAATTAACTAATTTTTCAAATTGAATCTGATTTACGCGTAATTTCAAAATGGTTTACAGTAAATGACTTAAATTTAAATCTAAATAAAACTAAATTTATTTATTTCAGTTTTAGAAAATCAGAATTTAACTTAAATTTGAAATTTCACTCTCTCTCTCTCACCTGTAAAAGTATTAATGAAAATTGTCAATGCTACATTCTACAATCTGTAAATAATATCAAATATTTAGGACTATATATCGATTCTAATTAGAAATGGAAAGTTTAGTTTTAGTTAAATTTTATCACCTTAAGAATAAAATTCATTTTAATTTTGTGAAAGCACTCTATTACTCTTGGTTTTATTCTTTAATTAATTATGGTGCAATTATATATGATGCAATAATATATGGTGGCGATTATAAAACTAATTTACTTCCTTTAATCTCAGTTCAGAATAAATGCTTTAAGATTATTAATTTTCTGAATATAAATAATTCAAGTATAACTACTACCAATATATATACAAGAATTAATCTATTACCATTTCGCCGTAATGTATTTTTTCGTATTTTACTTTATTTACTCAACAATAAATTAATATGCAAATTAAAAACTAATGTGTCTGAAAGGAGACCAACTGAAGTATATGAGAATCCCGTTTTTACAAAAGAAATTTCACGAAAACAGTTTTTTTATTTAGCACCTAAATTAAATAATAAATTACCATTTCAGTTGCAAAATATCCAAATATATTTATCTTTTAAGTGTGCTTTATTTCAATTTGTGATGAACATCGACGATTTAGATCTCTATTTTCCCTTTAAAGGAAGCATTTGATTTTTTATACCAGTCTTGTGCCAATCCAAATGAATTTCTTATGTTACCTTTCTTATTTTTTTTATATAGTTTCATGTATTTTTTTTCTTAATTTCTTTTTTAAATCTATATAACTGCTGTGAGTTTGAAACAGTTCTTCGTGGCTGCTAGGTCAAATTTAGCCCACCTTTAGTCAGCGCTCTTTATGCTAATTTTGAAAATGGCGCAAAACTGAAAGTCACTGTTTTGTGAAGATGAAAAGCGTTTGTGATCATACTATTTACATTTAAAAAGCTACGCCATTATAAAAATTTTCTCATGAAAATTTTTCAAAATTAAGATTTATTCACTGATTTTGATAATTTTTGTTTTAATAAAAAAATATTGTCGAATTGGTGATTTTTTAAAATGTTTAATATCTTTTAAAATATTTAGCTAATTTTTCCGTTCTAAAGCCCATATAATTATTTAGGGCAAGATCGTATCTATAGTTTAAAATTATTGTTTTACCTCAAAAAATTAGGCACTTAAACTGCAATTTTATTTCGTTTTCCTTGGTGAAAGAGCTTCAAAAAATGTTCGATGTTAAGGATGGATTATTCCAGTGATGAGAACGCCAATGCAAGACATGTTATCTCTTTCTCGTTTATGGAAGTGTCAGTTTACATATTTTAAAATATGCTCTTGATTGTGTTTGCTGAAAAATCAAGTAAAATAAACGATGGTAATTTTTAAAAAAATTTCATTGTAGAGTTCGAACTTTAGGCCAAGGTAAACTAAATAATGTTAATTTATGACAAGAATCCACGCATTAGGAATTATGCAACTAAAAGCAAAGTACTTGATCTAAATACTAATGTGGTTGTGAGGGTAGAAACAAAGCCGGACAAATTACCCTAGTCTGACGTTTGCACCCTTCTTAAAAGCATTAAAAAAATACGAAAGATTTCATTGAAAGTGTCACCACAGGAACGATTTCCCACAGCTTCCCACATTTGTCAAAATTGACCTACCACAACTGTAATATAAATCAATGCAATGAAAAAGATTTATAAAGTGTTCATTATATGTATAATATAATTTTTAGCACTCGAATAGTTGAGTGAGTGTCATAATGTTTAATTATCCAAGCTTCATACATTTTAACTGAGCAAAAGCATGTTCCAACCAATAATTCTTCTAAACTTGGAAGGGACATGCTAATGGTATTGCATTATTGGAAAGAAGAAAAACTATCATTGTAACTACTTTATTGCAACTAATGTCTTATGTGTGTTTTGGATAATTATTTATTTTTAAAATAAAGTAGGCTTTTGGACTACTTTGTATCCCTTATTAACGAAATAAAAATTACTTCATTTCAGCATTTATCATTTTGAAATATATTGAGCTAAAATGCTTTTGTTTCTAGAAATAAACCTGTAAATATTTCATTCTGGTGCTAAATGTCATGTTTCTTTCTATGCATACATAGGAATCTCTGTAATTCCAGCAGTTTTGCAACTTCTCATTCTTCCTTTATGCCCTGAAAGTCCAAGATATTTGCTCATTTCAAAACAGCAAGAATCTCTCGCAAGAGAGGGTAAATAGCACATTTTTCATTTATTTTGCAACAAAGCTATTTAAAAAAATTAATAAATAAATAAGTTCAGAATGTTCACAATTACTACTATTGTAATAATTAACAAAAAAAAAACGTTGTTCAGTTATCTTGATTTTAGGCTTAATTCTCAGATGTCAAAGTAATATGCGTAATTAATGAATTTGATAAATAATTAATGAATTTGAAATAGCGTAATAGAGCGAGACACATTTCGTAAATAATAATACAGGGTAAGCACAAAATAATGAATGAAGTTGAAAGTTGTATTTTATGATGAATGATAGTTATATTTTCACAACGATTACACGTGCTACAATAAATTATACACAGAATTAGAATAAGTTTTACAAATTACAATTACAAATTACCCTTTCTTTCAGTTACAAATTACCCTTTTTTTTAAGCGACAAATATTATTGTGCTGTCAAGCTCGTTTTGTTTATTTTGCAGTTTTACACTTCGAATGGGTCATAATGTTTCATAAATGCGTTAAGTTCTTGCTGTGTTTTCAACATCGATGGTTCATAAAGAGTGACGTAAACCCCCAAAAAACATATTATATAGCGTAAAATCTGAGGATCTTGGTGGCCATATAATTAAGGCTAAAGCATCTGTTTTCCGTGTGCCCCATACACTGCTTATGAACAAAACATTACAAGAACTTAAAAAACGCATTTGTGTTACAGTAGGATCCATTGGCAGTATGAAACTGTAAAATGCGTGGAATTAAATTGATTGCAGATTATGATTTTCCTGTAACAATAGACACATAGAACATTTGTAACTGAAAAAAATGGTTTATTTTTTCTAACTTTATGCATCACTTATTGTTTACTTAAAAAAATACTATAAATATTTAAAATCTAGTTTTTCATTTGCGTTGTGAGTGATTCTTAAATCATAATTTAAGAATTACTTTTGCCAAGATAAAAAGTATCTTTTTTTATAAACTTGTCTCATTATAGTTTAATGTTTTACTTTCCTTGATTTAAAGCATAATTAATAGTATTTAAAAATTATAAATGAGCAAACGAGGATTTAATTTAATTGAATGTATAATTTTAGGATACAAGGTCCAAGAAGAATATGCTGAGTCAAACCGTAATAAAATTCGCATATACCATTATAGGTAAACTTAAAAAAATGCTATTAGCAAATTTTAATGGGGGAAAAAAAGAGGAAATAACGAGGAATTTTTATTCCCGTACTTTGTAAATGGAAACTGACTTGTAAGAAACTTAACTTAGGAATCAGAGTAAATTGTTTTATTTCACTTTCATGAAATACTTTATGCAATTCTATGCATCTTTTAAACTCTTTTTGAGACTTTATTTAATTATATTAATAAATATCAAACTAAATCTAAAATATAATTAAATTCATATACATGATAAAGTTCATAATACAATTAAATTAATAAGCAATATTATATTAATAAATATTTAAAAATAAGTACATATAATTAAATTTATACGTATAATTAAATTTATACACATATTTTATACCCATAATCTAATTCATAAAATTCATTACATGTACAGTATTGCATATATAAACTTCATTTCAGCATTGCAGAAGCTTAGGTGCTCAAGTTTAGTAGAAGAGGATATAGACGAAATGAAAGCTGAAGATAGAACTCAACTGCATGAACCTGAGGTAAATAATATTAATAATGCTAAAACTTTGTTTTTTTTTAAAGTAGAAAAATTGCTAATTTATTTTGGTGACTTTTTTCTCTCTTTTTGGCATGGCTTTCACATATGACTTAAGTTATATAATGTTTGAATCAAATTTGAAGTCTACCTTGATTATTTTGGGACAGAATAATTGGAAAATAAGAAATAAAAGTATTATTTGAAAATTTAAAATAATAAAGTAAAATGTTACCTACTAGATTACTGATTACACATTAGAAAATACTTCATAAAATAAGAAATTAAGATATTTCGCTCTTCAATTTCATCAACATAGTTTAGTAACAACATACAATCTATGTTTCAAAATATTTATAAATAATTTGAAATTAACTATTCATTTTAATATCCTTTTAAGAAGAAGTTCTATAATGCTCCATGAAGATATGCACATAAATTTTTTTTTCCAAATATTCTTCATCATTTTTCTTCAAGACATAAATCTACTTAAAGGAGAACTGCTGGTGAAAATAACCTATTCATAACTGTGGCTAAAAACCAGCCTTCTTAAAGAAAATACTATGGACTTCCTCGATATGATGATTATCTTTATACCAAAAATAAGAGGATACCTCGAAGTTATTTTTGCTACTGCTTTATATTCTATATGAGTAGTATTCTATATAAGATTTGATATATGAGTCTTATTCATATACCGCATACTTTGATTCTCCCTCATGGTACACCATCCGATTTGTTAGGAAGCCCTTGAGATTAAAAATGAGCATAACATATTTCTTTTTCATTTAAAAACTTAATTATTATTTAATTTAATTTTGCTTTCGATAAATATATCTGTTATTATCGATCTATTATCGGAAATCGATCTATTTTTTGCGATTTCTTCTATGGCTGACAGGAACATTTGGATAGAGTTCAAAACTCGCTAGATGGTTGCTGCAATGCTTTGATTTTATAAAATTGTTATTTTTAATTCTCATCACCAATACATTTTAAAATTTAAGGCCCAGAAGGGATGGATAATATTTAGGAAAAGACTTTGGCATAGACAATGCAAGTATTTCATTATTTTCCTTAGAGAAAACTAAACAAACGTATTCATACACTTGATTTTATGGTTTTATGGTGGATGAATGAGCTCTGTTGGTGTACATCTCCTTTTCAGTTGCACATTCTTTTCGACTATTCTAAATTTATATATTATTTTCAAATGTTATTTGGATGATGCATTTTTTTTACTAACTTGAACTCTACATTACCTTTTTGAAAAATACAATTTTCGCTTTGATTAGTATCTTGTTTCATCATCTATACTTTATTTTATTTTTAACACCATCCTAAACTATGATAAATAAGTAGTTCCCTCCCCAAACTGAATTTTCTGTCTTCTTATTTAATTTTCGGATATATTTCCTCTTCAATAAAATTGTTTACTTCAATCTCCTACCTGTTTACTTCAATCTCCTACCTCTCTAAATATGCAGCACCTTATCTTCTCATGTACAGCCTTAGCATAGACAAAAACCTGCCTTCATGAGTTATGTACGCCAACATTTAATTGAGTTCTTGCAAGTGCAGTGGATAACAGGGTTTTTTCCCATCGTCTATAACATGAAATAATTTTTTTTCTGGTCTGTGCCAGATTAGAGATTTTGTTTGAGCGGGAATTTAAGTTAACCTTTTTTTGCCGACTTCAAGCAAGAAGTATTTTCATACACTGATAAAATACAAATAAATAAATTTATTTTTAAAAGTAAATAAATTGAATGAAATGAGAAATAAAGAAAATTAAGCATAGTTCAATCTTAATCAAACTAATTTTAAAGCCATTGCGAATGAAATACCATCATAAGAATGTGTGACTTACAAATATTCCAAATCTATGCCTTGAAAATGCATTGAAACAATTATGACTCATTCATGTATAAAAATTTATTGATATTGTTGATAAATTAATAAAATTAGAATGAGAAATTAATAAAAATGTATTTTATTTATTTTAGACGGCTTTTACGGAAGAGTTTCGTATACAGCCACCACCTATGCAAATAACGATATGGAAACTTCTTCAAACCAGATCCCTCCATCTTCCATTAGTGATAGGAGTTGTAATGCAACTCACCCAACAACTTTCAGGCATAAATGCTGTAAGTTCATATCCCATGTTAAAATGGTATTCAATTCAGATATCGAGCAGATAAAAAATCAAATGCAATGTATTTCTCTGATATCTTTATTTTAAGCAAATAAGCATTTTACGGGGAAAAGATATTTTGAAACTTTCAGTTTTCAGGCTTTTACAAACTTTTCAAATAATGTTGGACAAACTGTTTTGTATTTTAAGAATATTAAGATCAGAAGGTTACACACACTTTTCAATAAACATTTAGTTACGAGAGTGTTTCAGGAATCCGTTCAAGATTACAAATCAAAAATAAGAAATACAAACCTTTTGACATTCTGTTCCGTAAAAGTTAGCAATCAGTATGTAGCAAGGATACGCTAAAATTAATAAAATGATCTAACTTTATTTACTTCAGTACTCTCCATTTCCTGTAGTTATTTAATAGTAAAAATAAGAGCATAAAAAGAACAACACTCATGGTAATTGCAAATCTATACAAATTATCTAATTAAATAAACCATCAATAATTGAAAAAGAATATTTAAAAGAAATTCTACTTGCTACAAAAACTACATCTAAAATTGCCATAAAAATTTAAAGCCGATCGAATTAAAAGTGAGGACATTGAGCTCGTCGTGTATTACATGTCTTTACTGTAAAAGCTTGTGTTAGAAGAATATGTCGCTTTGTTTTCGAAAACTTATTTAATTATATATTTTAAATATTTTAACAAGCACGGATAACAATATCAAAAAAAAATACATATGTTTTATTTATTATGTGACTCATAAATTTATCCATATAAACAAACGATTTATATTATTTATTAATTTATAATTTTTTTTAAAATCACTATTGTGCTCACCCATAACTACTTAAAAAGTAGTCGAAAAATCTCTGTACGGGATTAATTTACTCACTTCGTTTAAATTGTGGAAATATAAAATACTAAGATAAACAATATAAACTTGTTTTAACCCTTAAGTATTAAATAAAAAAAATAAAAATTATTGTATTTAGTTTTAATGTAACTATTTTCCTAACATACGTTTTAGAATTATTATCTAATCTACTATAACACGTACAGTGTGCAAAATATAAATAAAAACCTGAATGACTTTTGATCTAATGATCAGATTTTTCAGGTACTAGAACTCAATCTTAAAAATTTGCAGGGCGAGCACAAATAATGTGATAATTAATTTGTGCAGACGATATTTTAAGTTACGAAATTAAGCACGAACTTTTTTTGAATAAACATACTTTTTTACGATGAATTAGGATTTTCGATTCTCAAAATATTGAATAGCTACAATCAGGAAAATATGATCTCAATAATTTAGTCAGGAGAGCGGTTAACAGTTTGGGCCCCTCAATGTTAATTTTACTTTGCATATTTCCCTATATATTGGAAAGTTTCTGAAAATTTCTTGCGCATAATGTAAAATACGTTTACATTATGTACACGTTTGCATTACATGTAACTTTAAAAATAGTTTTTTACATAGAACTGTTTTTGAAGAAACAAGTTTTATATTTGTGTGCAAAACTGTTTGATTAGTTTCATTAGTTCCGGAGATGTGGCGAAATACGGAAAAAGTGAAATTAATAACTGTCTCAAACTTTCAACCGCTCTTCTGATTTAACTATTGGAATAATACCTGCTACCCCCCCCCCCTAATTTGAGGATCAAGAATCCAAATCAGTCAAAAAAATACATGTTTGTTCTGAGAAAGTAAGTTTTTGTGTCTGATTTTGTAACTTTATCGTTTTCAATAATTAATTAGCATCTTTAAGCCCTTGAACCATAAGGATTGAGTCGTAATACGTGAAAATCTAATCATTAGGGATCAAAAGTAAAAATTCATTGTGTTAGTCTTCATTTTCCATTGAAAACTTCATATTATTTGTATTTTACAAATAAATTCGTCACTCAATGGTCACATGTTGGACTTTTACTGCAATTTTATCTTTTTTTAATACTTATTACAGCTCCTTTCGAAAAGCGTGAATTCTGTTCAATTATTATAATTTTAAGAAATCTGACAAATCTGATTAAATAATTTCAGCAAGATCTCACCTTAATCACTCATTTTTATTATTAGGTTCTTTATTATTCAACTGGTCTTTTTATGGGTGCTGGCCTCCCAGAGAATGCAGCCAAATATGCAACGATAGGCGTTGGTGTAGTCATGCTCATCATGACATTAATTTCTATTCCTTTAATGGATCGTAAAGGTCGTCGGACTCTACAACTCTACGGACTTGGAGGGATGTTTATATTCAGTATTTTCATCACTATCACTATGCTTGTGAAGGTATAATTTTACGATATGATGTAATATTAAGTCCAACGAAATAAATTCAAACAGTATACATACAATTTTTTTCAAAAAAAGATGTTAACAGTTAAAATTCTTAAGTTGAAGCCATTATTGTTAATACTTCTAAAATATTCTGCATATAATGTTCGTATACATTCTGAATGATCGTATATATGCATGAATGCAATAGCTTTATATGGCAATGACATGCATTTATATTATTTATTAGCGATATACTTTGCTCATAGAATTCTGAAAAGTGCTATTAAGCTGTGCCTGTTATTTTGTATAACAGCATTATCTATTGGAAATATGGTTTATACATTGAAATGTGAAAAATAATCATAAGCTTTATACAAATAAAGATTTGATATCAATAATGTAGAAGTAAATTAAACTGTTAATATTAATAGTTTTAATTTTTTAAATTTTACCTGAAGTTTAATAGCACTTCAAGTTTAATAGCACTTAGAGTATAATAATACTTATGTAAAGTTTTTATCATAAATTTTGATTTAGTTGTTACAAGATTAGAAAATTTAAAAAAAATTAGCAGCTTTTTCAAGCACAAATATCGCATTAAAAATCTATAAAATACATTAAATGTTCTGTGGCTCAATGTATCTTATTAAAGATTCTATCTTCCATATGCAGAAAAACAGTTCATTCGTATTTTCTTTAATACAAATGAAAATTTGGGCTATATGATAATACGCTTTATATTGAAAAGCGATTTTCACACACTGTTTGGAAATTTCTGAGAAAAAATGGTTTAATAAAAATTTATTTTATTGTTTTTTTACCGGCTGAATTTAGAAAGTTGCAGGTTTGAGCAACAAATTAGTATGTGGGTTTGAGTATTAAACTCTTTAAAAATTTAGATGAGAATAAAAATTAGCTATATAAACATGAAACATAATAAATAAATATACTCTATAGAAATTAATGTACTCTATAATAACTAAGGTTAATAAATAAATTGGAAATAACGACAGGGACCCGATTATGTCTCAAGGTCATTAAACCGAACCTTCAATACTTGGGTGGCTCTTCTATAGCATAAAGCTATGCATTACTTCGCCTTGACTATGCATTACTTCGTCTTGACTATGCATTACTTCGCATTCCTCTACTGAGTCAGGCATCTGTCCAATTGGGATACCAATTGGGATTGTAAAGATTTGCAGTTTTTTAAAATAAGCATGTTATTATAGCAAATAAACTTATTGCGATTAGTTTGAGATATAGTAACATTTCTACGGATACTAATAGATATATTACAATTCCAAATATATATATANATCAGATATATATATATATATATATAAAGTGGGCTGCAAATGCATTTCTTTCACTTTACGTTGCATGCAAAACTATGTATTTCTCAGTCAGAAAATACTAATGCATATTCACGTATTAATTTATAATATTTATCCTTGACGAATGAAAAACCATAAATGGAAGAGTAATGTAAGCATTCATTCCAGCTTGACGAAGGTATGATAGGGATACAAAGCATATTAACTAAGCAATATTTATCAATTTCACTCTTTTTAGGTGTTAGTAGAAGGAAAACCCAATGCTTCTAATGTTAATTAATGATTATACGAATGCTTTTATTTGAAAACAAATTGTTTCGTATATAGCTCGCTTCTCGTATATTGCAAAATAGTATGCCTCGTATCTCGTATATAGCAAAAATTTTACGCGTTATTACCTTTCTTTGATTTATAAAACCAGTTCATGTAAGAAATCAAGTTATTTTTCGTAAAATTCTTAACCTAACACAATCGCAAATTTTAATTCTTTATTTCTAACTTCTTTAAAATCAATTTTAGAATTCAGACGAAAGAAAATTACAATCCTTTTGTTATTCTAAAGAGTCATCATGAAGGTGAAATTAATACTTCTGGATAGATAATAAATTGTACAATCGTTGATTTCCTACGTTATTTTTAATTCAGTCTTATTATTCTTTCTTCTTTAATTACAAACTAGTAAAGAATGTAAGGATTGTAAAAAGAAATAGAAAAAGGAAAACACAAACGATTTAAATTCATACTTTGGTTACTAATTCAAGTTTGGTTACTAATTCAAATCAAGTAATTTTCTGATCTCACTTAAATTGTAATTAATCGTCTGAAAGTGCGTTATCGTTAAGGTATTTGTTTCGATGCTGTTTTTTCTGGTGATGAAATAATAGAAGCTTTATATTCACATTTCTTAAAAGAATTCGTTTTCAAAATTTTTACTACCATCAAATTCATATTCTAAAATAAATTATTCCAAAAATATAGATAATTTATTAAAAACAATATTAATTAGTGAGAAAAATAAAACAATGTTTCGAGCAAACGATTCTTTCAACAGATCCTTTTTATAATCGTTTTCCAATTTTTCTATTTTAAATTTTTGTGTTTTAATGAAATATTTTGAACTGGAAATGCTTTTACTATTATTTTCTATTCTAATTAAGTTATACTATTTCTAAAGTAAATTTTAAGGTCTAATTTTGCAGTTTTGCATATAGTTTGACATAACCTTTTTAGTTATTCTGGTAGAAAAATTTTGAACAGTATTATCATTTTCAAATATTATGAAATTCGGGTAGTAATTTCTTGCTTTGAATCAGTTCCGCGAAACGAAACTTTTGAAGTTCTCTCCAAATTTCTTCAAGTTTGAAAAGAAAACTTCAAGTTTGACTTCAAGTTAAATTCCTTCAAGTTGACAATCGTTTGACAGTCGATTTTCGAATGATCTAGTTCATAGTTTTCATGTGATGTCATTATTTTTTTCTTAATAATAGTTATTTTATAAATAAATCTTTTATAAATAATTTATTTATGGATAATTCTTTAATAAATAATTCTTTTATAAATAATTCTGTTAGAAAAAACAATAATTCAAAAAAGTTAAAATCTTAAAGAACAGTAAAATACAATTCCTTATCATTAGAAACTAAGGAACAATCTTACTGAATCTGGTTCGATCGTTATGCTTTAAATGCACCAATCAAATTCTCAATTTTTAAATGTATATTTGCTGTGAATTTTTATGGTGATAAAACTTACAATAAAGAATACTATTGAAGCAGCGTTGAAAAATATTTCGTTTTTTAATGAAAAGTTTGTCTTCAAAAAATTTTGATTCAACTATATCGTTTTTTTAAAAACAAAGATTAAATATTTCCACTCTTCTCTTAAGATTAAAATTAATTTAATTTGTTTACGTGTTTTCGAACGCTGTCGTTAGGATATTTTAAAGTGAGCTTCTAAAACTCGTCAGTTTGTCTAGCCTTTTATTGGTCCTTTCTGGAATTTTTAACGTGTTACTGTTATTTACTAACCAATTATTTCAAGTACAGATCAGCACGTTTTTATTTTCTTCCCAAAATAAATTTTTCTCAAATTATTATTTTTAGTTCCTGTATCATTGGATAGCCTATTTCAGCGTCGCTAGCACACTCTGTTTCGTGATATTTTATGCCATGGGTCCAGGTAAGGTATGAAAATAGCTTGGTATGCCTGTTGTACAAATTCCTGCTCAGTTTTTACTGATTCCTTATAAATATTTTGCAGGACCCATTCCATGGATGATAACAGCAGAACTGTTTTCTCAAGGGCCTCGGCCAGCAGCAATGAGTATAGCTGTTACAGTAAACTGGTTTGCCAATTTCGTGGTTAGTTTAGTCTTTCCGCAAATGCAGGTATGTTTTCATACTTACAGTAGTTAATAATTTTCAAAATGAGAATTTATACAAATGGTGAGATTTTTTTTATTGATTTTCCAGAGAGTATTCGAGAATTACACATTTTTGGTTTTCACAATGTTCTTAGCTGTTTTTTGGACTTTCACTTACAAGAAAATTCCTGAAACAAAAAACAAGACATTCGAAGAAATATCTGCTTTATTTCGAAGAGACGATGATCCTATGAATATCAACGGAATGAACGTCCTACAAAATTCTCTTCAGTCTCCAGAGATGCTGTATGAGGATAAACCTTTGGATCAATGTAAGAATAATAGAGTTTACTTAACCAACCTATTAATATCCCTTGGTTCCTTGTAAGAATAATAGAGTTTATTTAATCACCATATTAAAAGCATTTGGATCAATTTAAGAATAATAGAGTTTTTTTAACCACCCTATTAATAATCTAAACTTAGTTTTTCAGAACCCATGTTTTACATATTTACAAATTGTAATACAAATACACAAGTTGTAATTGTATTAGTCTCTTACTAGAAAATACTTATTTTCTTTTTTTAATTTAATAAAAGATTTAAATTTTTAAATTTAAATAAGTATTCTGTTAGTAAAACTAAATTTTTGAGTTTAAGTAATGCATCTGAAATCAATACACTTTTCTGATATTCTGAGAGGATTGTAGTTTAAAAAATTTAGAAAACGTGAATCAAGTTATTTTTTCCATAGGTATGTTTTTTCCATAATTCTATAGAAAAGAAGACTTAAAATTATCCTTAATTCTAACTTCACGATGCTCAGTTTTGTCGATCAATAATTAACGGATGGAGTCCTAATCAATTTATATTATCAAATGTATTGAACAAAATTATCCCCAATTTGTGCTCTAATTATCATCTTCTGTATTTATTGAAAATCACTGAAGTTATTTAAAAAATCATTAATTTTACAGCCGTAGAATACTCAAAAATGATGTTTAAAAATAAGATAAATAACATAATTTTTTCGCGGAAATGACTCAATAAAAAAGGCCATTTTTTATTAATTGAAATATTTTTAATTGAAGATTGACACCATGTATTTCATATTTGAAGTATATTTCTTTTTTTTAATATATTTCTTGCAGAAGATATGAAAGCAGACTTTCCTTATAGCGTGGTGTGATGAAATTATAGCCTTAACCAAGTCATATTCTAATATTAAGTATCTTTAATACTCTAAATACACCCTTACTGTAAAAAATATGATTAAATTAGACTAGAGTTTTAAAATAGAAAATTAGAAAACTTTTCCAAAATATATAAAATAATTAACGCAAACAACTTCTTAAATTTTTCTTATTCTAAATATTACTTTTTTAAAAACTTAAGGCATAGAAACACACTTTTGGGTAGAAAATTATTTCTTGTTAAGATATTTTAACTGTCTAAAATTGGAAAAATATTTTTCATCTAATACTATTTTACAGAAAATAATAATATTAGGTTTTCCTATATTTTGACTTTGAGAATGAATAGCCTCGAGATGTATCTTATTTAACTAACATATATTTATTGATTTCAAAAATTTTAATTTTGTTTGTTTGTCCTCTAGCAATTCATTCTCATGAGCTTTCAATAGATTTTTACCTAATTTAAAATGAAGTTAAAAACATTTAAAGTTTTTCTAAAGACAAAACTAAAGGAATTTTTAATCTATTCTAATTTGATATTTTGAATTATTGGATTGATCTAAAAGTAATTTCATTTTTTATTTTATTTAATAAAAAGAAAGGCGATTTTTCTTACAGTGAATAGATATTTTTTTGAATTATATATTGTCCACTTTGGTCCAATACCTTTTACCCTCTTTTTGGCAGTAGAATGATTCGACACGTTTACAATTTTCCCCCCTTGCTGGCAAAAAAAAAATGATCCAGATGACTTTTGGTTACCTAATTTGAAGTAAAGATTTCACCATATAAAATTTTTGTAGTGACGAAGAAATTGTTGTAGTGTAGACAATTAATTTCTCATCCCCAGTGCTGATACTCTTTTTAAAAACAAAAATAAAAATCTTGACATTTAAGAAGCAAATCACAGACATCAACACAGCGGCACAATTTTTTTCCAATAAGAATATAATACCTTTATTGTGTCTTCATTAGCTTAAACTGGCGTCCGTGCATCTTAATCGAAATCTTGCAAACTACTTTTGGTACTGGCTTACTGACAATTATTTTTTTCTTGCTTGAGCAGCATTTTCACCTTTTTAATTGCAAAAAAATAAAATATGTAGAAAATTCTGCTTTTCCCTTTTCGCATTTGAAAGGGTACCAACCAAAATCTTTTGCGTAGAAATAATCGAACTTTTTCCCCAGCAAATTTTGATGTATCACCTGTCAAAAAAACTAATGATTGTGTGGCATAAGCATGAAGTTGGTTATGAAAAAATATGCTTGAATTTTGCTGTTAAAATAAAATTACTTTCAGAATTACCGATAGTTTGTTTCTATACATTTGATATGCGCAATAATTGGCAAAAAAAATAATAGCGAGCACATTGATATTTTTTAACGTTTGACCTACTTTCTTTTGTAACATTATTGTAAAAATTAGATTTAATTATATTATGTTTTATAGACTAAATTTTTTCATTGGAAATATACTCTCCAAATTTAGTCGTTGTAGATCTATGTTTAGTGTTATTGCAACTGTACTACTTACTTTCTATGTCAAACAATATTTTTTATAACTTAATAATTGGTTCATGCAAATCAGATTGCGAAAAACATTTAATTGCAATATAACGAATTTATAATTGCAATACAGCGAATGATACTGTAAATTAAAGACATAAGAAAATTATTTGGCTAGATGTATAGTTTTTCAGTGAACATATGAAAAACTCATCTTACCATATCAGTTAAGCTTCATGTTAGTGTCAACATTTAGAAAATGAAAACCTTTTAGTCAAGAAATTTGATACATCGAATACAAAATGTTTTTGAAAAGTATTTACTTGGGTTTTTTTTCCTTCCCAAAACGCTTTTATGTAGTTTATCCCCCTCTTCAGAAGCTGTTTCCTTCTTACCTCCAATAAACTGTGATTTTTTTATCAGGGAAATTGGAAATCAGGTTTTCTCCTAATCTCAACTTTTAGACGAATGTCATTTGTTTTCTTTATCAAATGTTTCGATTCCTTAGTATACTGTTATCATTTTTGCGTTTCCAAGTTATTTCACACAAAAGTTTTTTTATTCTGTCAAACAACATATTTCAAATACAATGCAATGTTTGGGGCAATAGCACTCGAGGTATTTAAAAAAGCTATCAGTTTAATCTCCTTACTTAAAAGAAGTAAAAAAAAAACTTTTCGCTGTTTAGGTCGATTAGTCTCAGTCTGTTCTATTTTTATTATAAACCAGAACGTAAATAAATTTTCTTCTTACCCTGTTTTTGATATTCTTCCCCAATTCTGACTATCTTGTTTACATATGCGGACTTCAAAGTTCAAAAAGTGTTATGGGATTATAAACTTACAAAAAAATATATCTAATTTCATTTGGGGTATTGGACAACATCTAACAAGAAGACACAATAAATCATAGAAAAAAAAATTGCATCAACAAGAAGGGGAAAAAACCTCTAGAAATTAAAAATTCACACCAACAAAAATGCTTTTCTTATCATCGAGAAGTTTCCTACGCGTCTTATTTTCATTAAATAAAGCGAATTATGCGTCTTTAAATTATTGATACACATGTAGTATAGAATGATTATTGAACAGAGACGTTTAATCCCATTTAGGCAAAATGTAACCTTTTTCGATCAAGGAGGACAGAATAAATTCAGCCCGCAAATATAAAATGGCTATAAACTCGAGTATTTGAAGGGTGCGAGTAATTTCTGAAATAAAAATTAAAATTCACATTGATCAATAAAATTAATAAGACAAGTGGATCGGAAAGCATTATTAAGATATAGATGAAAAAGTAACGAAAATACAAGCAAAAGGAATATATATATATATATA